GGAGAGGAAATTGTGTTTGAAATTTTAGGATAAATCCACGCTGATAACCTTTAAAAGTGAAAAGTAAATATTGTGCAAAAAAGTGAAAAAATTGAAAACTTTAAAAGTGAAATTTTTTTTATTTTAGTGATAAAAATTTTGTTTTTTTACAATAATTTTTAGTGCATTATGAATAGGTATGTGGAACTTTCATTTTGGGAAGAAATTGAAAATAATTTCTATTGCGTACTTGAATAATTAAAGTTCAAACAACTATAATGTATGTACAGACATACGAGTATTATGTATGTGCGGTAATAGTAAGAGAAACTTTTATTATTCCTCAAGGATTTTTCTTCTTTTTTTATATTCAGTTTTATTTTATCAAATCATTAATTGATTAATATATACGAGAACAGTTTTTTTTTTCCTTATTCACTCCTAGAAGGAGCATAGGGCTAGTGCTTGATATCATGCACTAGTTTCATAGCGTCATATAGTTTAACTAGGTAGGTGAGTAGCCTGCCGTAGCTTTGTTTATATTACAATTATTTGAGGTTATTAATATTTATTGTTTATTTTTCTTAGTTTTTTTAATATCGAATATTAGGAATATTTGAAAATTACTTGTATAATATTTATTAGTATTGTATATATTAAGTTATAATAATATTGAATATAATTTTTATAGTTACCTGACCGGGGTTTGAACCCGAGACCCTTCGGATAAAGGACCGGTACGAGAACAGTAGACACTACAAAAATACTGAATTCATTAACTTTAAAGTTTGCACAAATTATCACAATCCCTACAAATATTATCTAAAGTAGCGCATTTCATTCACAATTTAGCAGAATTCTTAATTTTGCTAATCATGTTAAATAACTAGTAACGTACCATTAAGTACCTTGAGAAATTTTGGGAAAAATTTTTAGATTGTTTGATTACAATTTTAACGTGTAATATCCAAAAAGCTAAGAACTCAAAAAAGTGTTGAAATTAGAATAATTTTAGAAAGTAAAATAATATTAGAAAGCTTGGTAAGAAAAATCATTAAGGAAGATGTTTTATGACTAGGTAGAAGAGAAGAAAATCAAAATTTCTAAGGTTTTTGTTTGAAGCAACGCGAAATGTGTATATAGAGAAGTAAACTTTCAGAATGTTCTTCAGTATCCATAGCTTTTTGCATGTTTTTCAAACATATTTAAAACGTTTTACTAGCGAAACTAGGGGAAATAAAGGAAAATGTTATATGGGTTAACTTTTAGCTCTGATTGTAGCGTAGAAATGTAGATTTTTTCCAGGTTGCATGGTTTCTAAGTTATAAGCATTTATTTATGTGCAGAAAAAATCTGATACTTTTTTTTCAACAGTCTGTAGTTCGAAAACGAGTGCATTTCCCCTTCCCCCAAGCAATCAATCTTTTGCTGGAAATTGACCAAAGAATCATCACTGAATTTATTTACACCTTATGCAAACATATAGTGCAGAATAAAATGGAATTCCGTATCAATTGCTAAACTTTCAAGTTGAAATCTTACAAAATCCTATAACTTTCCTATCTATGTAATAATATATAATAATAAATAATATGTAGTATAATTATTGCTTTGAAAATTCATTAACATTCGAATTTATTTCCAATAGTTAATAATACCCGCCCGGTAAATATAAGTATATATGTAGATACAAATGTAAAGTTTTCATTCAAATAAAATAATTTCATTTTATTGTGTCGAAAATTTCCATGTTTTTCTTGTATTTTATTGAAACATTGATAGGAAAGTAAAGAAAAATTGTAACTGGCAATGTATAGCAAGCCGTTTCCTCCTCATACACCGCCTTTAACTAATAAAGAATAAGAAAAAAATTATTATTAATTTTTCAATGTTTACATTTCAAAAATCTATAAAACTATAATAACTATAATATTATCAAACGTATACCTACAAAGGTTGAAAACTCTCACCCAAATCATTCAACTAATTCTTAATAAAATCATGAACATAATTGGAAATTGGAATCAAATGCAAGAGACTTACTTGTAAGTTTGAGTTTTTTCCTCTCCTTTTCTTTTTTTTATTTTTATTTTTTGATTACAAAATCCATAATAGGGTAACACTGGAAAAATTAAAGTTTCATTTTCTTTTAAGAGAAAGAAAAATTTCATTTTCGTTGAGGCTATCTCTGTTTCGATTGTGATCACAACATATAATGGGTCAAATTTTATAAAAATTTTCTCTTCAATTCTTATGAGTGTATAGTCGAATGAATATACTTAATATTAAAAAATCCCAATTCATCATCATTATCATTTTGTTATCCTCGTCACATTCCGTCATCGTTGTCTATCAATATCAATAATTTTTACTAAAAATAATAATAAGCAAATAAAATTTTTATTAACTTTAAAATGTTGTAATAGAAATTGAATATTTTGGCTTATCATTTTTCTCCAATATTTTTTTAATATTATTTTGTAGCCATCTATTAGAGAGTACTTTGTATTATATATATGGAATGCTTTGGGTACTTAATCACCTGTGGCTATATGGGTAATTCTAATATAGTACTACTTTAATTCAGAAATTTACTCATTACAACTGAAACTTGTTAGAAATTCCCATTATGCGTTCATTTGGAAATGAGTCAAAAATTTTAAGTTATGATTGTTAACTTAATTTAATCATTTATAATGTTCCAATACGTCCTCATATTGCACTTAGGCTATGTTATTTTATACGAGTATACTTTTCAAATTGATTTCCTATACTTAAGCAAGTGCTATGAAAGGATTCCTCGCATTTACGATTGCGAGGCACTCAATACATCTTCGAAGGTCGCGATGCATCGTCAAACTACAAGTGCTGCCTTTAATAGCAATACAAGTTGCAATCCATTACCCTACTTCTTGATAAATGGAAACAGGCAATGAAAAATATTCAAAAATAACTCTCCTTAAAAAGATGTTGATTTTCGTTCAATTGACCAAGGTCGAACAAGATCGGATTCAATTGACTCTTGGAAAATCCTCTTGCAAACTTAGAATTAAATACTTATTTTAATATTAGAAGCTTTTGATTGACACTTTTGATTGGCACAAGAAAAAATTTTTTTCAAATGTATGTGAGTGGACATATTTATTCAATATTATCTATATACTTATTTATTACCGACCGCAAATTTTGCATATCGAGTTTTCGGTGGGAACGCACTTCTCCATCGTAGGGAAGTGGATATAAACTATTTTTAGCAACCTGTCGGTCTGTGTGTGTACGCGTGTATCTCAAGTTTGGCTGAACCGATTTTGATTGAAATTAATATTTAAATTCTTTCTTAACAGAAACTGATCTGAGGGCCGGTTTTACATTTTTTACCACATCTACGGAACAAATTGATGGAGTTTCTTGAAATTTCATATTTGAGTTCTGGTTGTTACCAAAACTAACAGACAAGCATTTCAGGGAATTCGGATAGCCCAAAGTGAAACTCTACTAAGAGCCAAATTTACATTTTTTTGGGTATGTTAACTATACGCTTACTAATGCCCAAAATTTTATAAGAAGTATTTAACAGGCATTTTTATAATATAAACTGTTACAGAATATTACTAATAGACTTAATTACACAAAACACATTATGGTCGGTTATGTGCTGACCACTTCGGATTTTTTTAAATATTAGACTATTACGATTTATAGACGTTGCTTAAGCACTTTAAGGTTAAGAACCTAAATGGAAACATCCTTAAAAATATTCTTAAATTACATATGTTACAAATACATATATTATAGCAAGTTTATGAGTAGACAAAAGAACTAGCTGTATAGTATGTAATTAGTAACAGCTGTTCTATTATGTGGTTTCTATATTTAATTATAACTTGGCAACCATATTATTTCTCAATGCACGTTCAACCGTTGTTTAAACCAAAAACTAAATTTTTTGTATGACCAGTGCAACTAAAATTAGAAAAATATTGTTTTTGCGGAATATCCCAAACATACAAGCAATAATACTGATTTTCCTCTGGATACCGTATGTAATTGCAAATTTTATAGAAAATTATTATACATGGTGTGTCTATAAATACATACACGCTGCGAATAGGTCTATTGTCTATTAACAGCACAAAATTGCTTAAAGTTGTTTTTGGCTGCGAACTCTTACTTTTATTATAATAAGGTGGGTACATACATAAAACTTTCGTTTATAAATGTTTACATACATATGAATATTGCAAGAAAGTTTAATAAGGACTGCAATCACTTCATACATAATTTTTATGAATGGTTTTCTTATTCCTTAAATGTGAATACATACATAATATGTATATACGTATAAATTCTATATATACATACGTAAGTCTATAAATATTTTGAAATGTGTGAAAACGAAAAAAAAAATTTTTTTTCTGACTTCGACAGAAGTTTTTTTTTTTCGAATTATTTTTCCTTCTTTTTGTAATAAAGAAAGTGCAATTCAAATGATATTTGATGAAGGTTATTGCGCTAGAATTATCAGTAAGCAAACACCATCATCTCCACTGCATGGCAATATAAGTAGAAAAATTACAACAAAAAACACAGTTCATCATTTACGGTCATCATCATGTTTTTGTTATTATTATTGTTTTATTTATTAATCTGATAAATCAAAGCAGTAGTAGCAAACCTGGAACCCATTTTTTAGTTTCGGGATAAAATTGTATGATTTAAACTTTTAAAATGGCTAATTAACTAAATTATTTAAGAAAATTACATTAACAAAAAAAAATAATTCCTAAATTAATAAAAAACCATGCCCCGACTGGAATTAACTTAACCCCGAATAAATAATCCAACAAAAGTACGCAATATATTTTTATTCAACTAATTTTCCCATGTGTAGTTCGGTACCAAAAGGACTGGCGTAATACATTAGGCAAAAAATGTTCTGTATCTCTGCTCGGGCCATAATGCCCATAAAATAAAATTAAAGAAATAAATAATTTGAACAGAAATTATTAAATAAAACTTACCGATTTTTGAGAAGTTTTTTCTTTTTAATTCAAGAATTCTTGTTTTTTAAAGCGTGACTGTAATTAAATTTTTGCACACGTACTTTCTTCCTAGGTTTATTGTTTTTATTAAAAAAAATTTCTATAAAACGATTTTTTATTTTATTTTCTGTTTCTTTTTTAGGAATTCTTTATTCAATGATGTTGGGGCGTTTTTATGTCAAAAACTTCTGTTGTGTTCATTTTGATTAATAAAACTCGACGAACATATTTATAAATTAGATTCACAAGAGAAAGTTTGTTAAAAATATCAAGTACGGGTTTAATGCAAAAATAAATAAAGTAGGGTCAAACCAATGGTTTGCAATGTAGCACTTTTCCCTTCAACAAGTGAAATACTGCTTCAATTTAACTTAATGGAAATTTCTTCATGCAACTGCTGCAGAACAGATGGATGACGGCAGAAAAATTAATTAAAAAATTTTTCTCCTCGAACTGGACTCGAACCAGTGACCTATTGCTTTCTAGGCGAACACTCTACCAACTGAGCTACAGAGGCATGAAGAAATTGCCGGCGAAATATTCTCTACATTGCTTATACTGTAATTCACATGATTACTAAGTATTTGTTTTGCTTACATTGATTGCTACATACAATCTACTATTGAAACACACAATAACAAGAACATATATATTTATAGGATTGTGCCTATTGCACTAATTAAATTATGAATTTTACTAATACAACATCATAGTTGCGGAATTAATAAGAATGTGCTTATAACACTACTGCTTTCGAAACTCGAAATACTGCTTTAAAAACAACCTTTGTACCTAGAATTATTACATTATTAAAATTGCTTTCTTTCATATACGAAATTCAATGATTCTATTTCAATGGTTCCATACATTTCGGATGAAGAATTTATGCAGTCCTTGAAATAAAGCAAAAAAAACAACAAAGAGGTGTTAACATAATAATCGATTTTTGGAGTTAAATGCGTGAGTTAAGACAAACAACTATATTTTTAGTGGCATGGAATCCACTGTTAGTTAGAAATTTGAAAAAGCTCGCAGTTTTGGAAATATAAGGTGCCAAAAAATCAAATTTTACAAATTTCGTGGGGCGATAACTTCTGAGTGAGTGGAGAAAAAAATTTCTTCTAACGAAATTAACTATTTATTAGTGTCTAAAAGCTGTTAAAATTTCAGATTCCTAAAATTTGCGGTCTAGAAGAAAAACGATATCGAAAATTTGAAAAAACGGGTGTTAGATAACAGTAAATTTTAACGGCCATTTTGCTTTTTAAAAGTTCAAGTATGGTATGCCGCGGTGGAAGAAACGAGGCGCCATTTTTATGCATTTGCAGAATTACAAAAATGCTTATGATTTCGCTGCAATAAATAGTTGAAAATTGACATTTTTAGGGTTTTAGGGGGATATAACTTTTAGAGGAGCGGAGATAGAAAAAAATTTTCTTTTACGGGAATAAGTTTCTAGTTTTATATTATATATGTATAAAATTTCGGCTTTATATCACGAAGAGCATAGAAGTTTTGTAAAAATATCCACGGACGGACGGACAGAGTGAAACTAATAAGCACTTTTTTCAAAAACTTTTTTTTTGTAAAGTGCTAAAAGCATTTTAAGAAAAGAATGTGATTGCAATTTTGTTTTAGTCTATGAAGCGTAAAATTCAGAATTCAAGAAAAAGAATTTATACCAAATGAAATTTAATTGTTGAAACACTTTTCCAAAAAACAATTTATTTATAATTTTCTATATGTTCAAAGATAATTATTTAATTGAAAATTTATGAAAAATTTATTATCGTTTCAGGGTTCACTAATGTTACAGCCGTTAATTACCGACCGTATTGTGTATACAATACGAGTAGGTAGGTTATTTTAGTTTAAAATTATATATTAAATCATAATTAAATTAAGAATAAGTACAGGATGAAAAACTCTATTGTGCAATAAGTATGTAAATAAATTAGGCTTTAAAATTTTGCATAAAAAAATATTGGACTGGAAAATTTTTTCAACTAGTTTTTTCTGATTAATTTAACTTTATCTCAAATCACAGTGAAGGTGATAATAAATAAGAAAATCCGATGTGGTCAGAAATATACACATAGGAACGAATTATGTTCCTATGTGTATATTTCCGTTCTATGGATATACTCCGGTTCATATGAATATAATTTCACCCCATGGATATAATTTGTTCCTGTGGATATATTTCGGTCCCATCAATATTTTTCGGTATTATGGATATATTTCTGTCCTATGGACATAATTTTGGGCCTATGAATACAGTTTGGTCATATGGATATAATTTGTTCCTATCGATATAATTTAGCCCTGTGGAAATAATTCGACTCCATGGATATAATTCCGTCCTATGGATAGATTTCGGTTCTTTAGATATCGATGGTTCCGGTTACAACTATTATATCTCCAAAACATAGGTTTTTAGGGGAGCAAAAAACTTCTCATATTGTTATAAATAAGAAATATCGTAATGTTATAAAAATAAAATATTGGAAATAATTTTTTTTAATAAATCCTGCTTAAAATTGAATGCTTTTGTTTTAATTCAACAATTTAATTCAAAGTTTTTTTTAATTACCTTTAAAATCAATTTTCTTTCTTTAAAAAGTGGAAATTTTTACTGAAAGTCGACATACAATCGCGAAGTAAATAAATTTTTTATTGTATTATACTGTGCGATATTAGTTTATGTCGATGTGCAACATTTTTTGTAATATAATAGTATATGCAAATTATTGAATGTACCATTTGTACTAAACTTTATAGTCAAACTCTTAAAACTATAATAAAACTACTAACAAAAATTTAAGAAATCCCATCGTTTAGTTTGAAATAAAGTGTTATTAAACTTCAAACGCGATTTTCTCGATTCAAAAGTTATGGCGTATGGATCAAAATAGTCCTCAGCCGACGATATTTAATAATGGTGCATACAATTATAAAATAGCAATGTTTTCAAATGTAAGGAGAGCTAGAGTTAGAACAAATGCATTTTTTATGAAAATATTGTAACTCTTTCCAAAAAATCTTATTCTTTACACCAAAAGTTTTTTTTTTGTTGAATTTCTATTAAAACTAGACCATCAAAAATTAAAATGGTGTTCAATCAAATAAATCGATGTTCAAAAAATAGAAGCAGAGAAGGCTCTTATTGTAAATCAACTTCGAATAGTTTTATTTGGAGCAGCCGATATATATGATATTTCGCGCTTTTAGTTCTGAAAAGGAAAACGAATTTCATATATGATAATATGTCATTTTTGTTGAAGCATTATTTTTAAAACGCTTTAGAGTTTTAAGCACAAACGCAATTTCCGAATTTGCAGTGTTTATTAGTCGAACGTTAGTTTACGGAGTTATTCACTAAGCTCACTTAAGTAATAAGCACAGCACGGAATATATGTATGCTAAGAGTTCATATCTTTAAGCAGAACATAATTTTATGATACATAATCTACATTCTTACACACATACATATATAAATTTACCTAAATTGCATAGAAAGGCTTCGACTTTATGCAAAATTTTTGCATTAATGCATATAACCTTGGGATTAAACTGCTCAAAGCTCGTATTTAGTATTTTTATCAACCTCTCACTGATATCGCACAATATGAAGAATGTATTTGAACCGAAATCGGATATATAACTGGAAATATTTCTTAAGTACTCTTTTTAGTTTTTAAAATCTTCTTGTATTGCATGGCAGCTGACCGAATTGATTTTTCCAATTATTTTAATTACAATAAGATTCATCTTATTGTCAGAAATCCTAATTAATTTTTTCATTGTAATTTACGCAGTATAAAGTTTCATTCAATAACTGAAATGATAAAATTGGCAACGTTATCTCATATTAAATTTTTGTTCTTTTTTAACGCGACACTTTGGTTCTTTTATAACGTAAAACATTTGCTTTTCAACACAAATAAATCGAAATTTTCACTACAATATCGCGATATACTTTATGAAAAGACTTTATAATTTTTAACTAGCACTCTTTTTACTTAAATTCCTTTTATTACATATTTTATAACAGTCTTATAATTAGATCATAAAAAAGTAAGAATTATATTAATACACACGTTAAAATAATTACTTGTGACAAATCGTATATGAATATACTATAAACTATAGGTACACACTATATATATGTACACATACGCATCTTATGAAAAAAAACACAAATCAACTTAATCGGTCATGTAGTTTTTTAACGCTAATAATTTTTTGCATACTTTCAGGAGAAATATATTAGTAGTAACATATGTACCATATGTCTCCAAAATAACGTTCGTAAATGTTATTAAGTATAAAATAAATTTTTTATGTTATTAATATTGGAGAATATTAAAAATAAGTAAAAATATTTTAGAAAATTTAAAGATCAAAACAAGTTCAAATCTAATCAAAAAAAGTCAGTCCATTTGAACTTTAGATTGAATTGAAAATTTTTACCTTGTAAGACATTCTATTTAAATTTAATCTTTGCATAGAAAATGCATAGATTAAGGACACTGAATTTATATGAACAAAGATCACAGATTAATTCATCACTTAAAGTTTATTTTAAATTCCACTTTTCATACTGAAATGTTAAGAAAATATTCTACTGAATACTATAGAGAATGCTTCCAAGAACAAGAAAACAAGTTGTAATAAAATTCTGTAATTTTCTGATGATTCAGAATTTGATTTTTATCATAATTCAGAATACACTCAAAAATAAAATTATATTAAAATATCATATTAAAATTTAAAAACACTGCCGAAAGTATAACCATTTTTGTTTTCAAATCTTTAGATTACAATCGAAACAATAAAATGTTTAGAAGTTTGATTAAAAAAATATGATCTTTTTCTGAAAACGCAGCATATGCGTACGCATTTCTTGCTTAAAACTAAGTAAGAAAACTTATGGTTTGTTTTGTAGTGGTTTTTTAAGGACTTTTTTAAGATCTTAGGTTAAGCTATTTTTAAAAAATATAGTTCTAGTACTAAATTGAACTTGTCATTATTCTATTTGTCATACATATGAAAATTAAAAATAGAGCTATTTTTGGAAAAAGATGATATAAAAAAATTAAATTTGTACATACATTTTGTCTGATCGCAGACAAAATGTATCGCAGTGAGAAAATGAAAAATGCAAATTTGCGTGAAATTTCAAACACAGTCTTACTTGAAGTTGTAATTTTCAAAAAGCTACTAACAGTTCTATAATTTCTACAAAAGGACCGTTTTACAGTTTAAGCAGTTCTTATCAAATACATACAAGCTGTAATCCAGTATTATGTTAGAATTGCATTTTCAGAAAAACCTAATCTGAAAAACTATTGCTGCTAAAATTAGTAAGAATAAATCGGAGGAGAACACAAAAGCAAAAAAAGTACATACCTTAAAGAAAATCTTTTTTTTGTTTTTTGTTTATTTTCAATTGAATTTTCTTAATATAGTAAAGTATTAATATATAAATAAATAAATAAATGTTCGAAAATTAATATATATATGTATGTAATATAATATGTATATATATATATATATATATATATATATATATATATATATAAATATGTATATGGTATAATTATTATAATATAATTTTTGTGAAATATAATAAAATTGTTCAATTGCTATAATTTTTTTTTGTTTCTACACTATTCTTTTAACTTAAATCACTTATGAATGTATATATATATATATATATAGAATTTTTGAAGCTAAAATTTAACTTTATATTCTCATTCACTAATAATAATATAAAAAAAATTAACAAATGAATAATAAAATTTAATTTTTATTTACTACTTTGTATATATTTTGATTATATTTAATACACAAACTAAAATTATTCTACAAAAATTACGATTAGCGTTGTTATTCCTATATTCTCTTTTTTTGTTAAACATTTTATAAATGAATATTTTTAAAATCACTGGTTGAGAATTTATTAAAAATTAATTTATAATTTATTCATTGTCTCTACTTAATATCGTTACTTAGTTTTATTGTCTTTTAACCTATTAAACATAATAATGTCGTGAATTTAAATGAAATATTTCACTTTTAAATTATAATTTAATTTTTTATTTAAATTAAATAACTAATAAAATTTAAGTTACATTTCTTGTTTTCATTTTTTTATTAAAATCATTAAATATTAAAAGTATTAATTTTTACTTGCGTATGCCGTTTTTTCTAAAATGTTGAACAAAATTTGATCATTATTTATTCACTTTGTTTCTGAAAGTGACAGGGTCAGTCGATAATTTGGAATTTATTGGAAAAATATAATATATCCATTAAGAAAAAGGAAAATCCTGATTTGAAATTGAATAAAAAATGAGATAAAACAGCGAGATACACGATTAGTTTGTTATTATTTATCATTATTTAGATTATCATTTAGTTCTTTAAATATATACCAAAATCGTTAAAGTGCGCCAATAAAACCAAATGTTTTATTTTTTTAACATTATTTTCATTATATCAAACTACACAATTCAATTTAAATGAAATAGTCATGTAATGAGATAATATTAGACTTAATAAAGTTTAGAATTTTCTTTTTGTAGTGGTACTTAAACAAATTGAAAATTTTCTTACATTCTGTTACATATTTTCGAGTGTTGGACTAGTTATAGGATGTTATTTTTTATTATTAGGAAAATTGAATACAATCAAAACGTATTTAAATTGAATTAAATATCTCGAGACTAGTCTATTAATAGAAAATATATGTATATATATGAAATATATTAGAAAATCTGAAATTTCAGCTACAAGTGCATATTAATAATTTTTTTTAAATCAATAAAGATAAATTTTAACTTGTAATATTAAATGATATTAAATGATAATTTAAATGACATTTTGCTTAGCTGATAATATATATATATATATATATGTATATATATATATATATATATATATATATATATATTATCAGCTATACATATACATATATATATATATATATATATATATATATATATATATGTATATGTATATACATATATATATATATATATATATATATGTATATGTATATATATATATACGTATGTATATATATATATATACGTACCTACAGAATTTTTTAATTAAATACATAATTTATAATTAAAAAAAATATCTCGAAATTAACTTTTTATAACAACAAAAAATATCATTAAACTAATCCTTGTACCAGTTTGTTGTATTTGTTAATTTAGAACTTATATATTTTCTAACTTGAAATCACAATTTTTCATTTTACTTTAGCAGTGACAACAATTCTAATAAATTTATATTTTCTTAACTTTATTTATATTTCCTTAATATTAACAAGAGCAGTTAAATTAATCTTACATTATACGATTGGTTACAATTATTGCTTTAGATATTGGTTCCAAAAATTAATTAAAATCTTTTGTATAAACAGTATTGTCATTTGATTTTTTATAAATTCTAATTTTGTAATAATTTTTCTATAAAAATACATAAATTTTCATTATTACTGTTAATATTACAATTATAATAGTTTAAAATTGAAGAATTTGATTAATCCAATCCCTGAACTCAGAAATTCTTGTATAAACACCAGGCTGATTTGGTTCAGCACAACCGATACCCCATGATATAACACCACCCAATACAAATCTCTTATCTCTTTCTCTTTGTAAAACCATTGGACCACCAGAATCACCTAAAATATTTAAAAAATATATTTAACATTTAAAAATAGTTATAAGAAATGCTTTTTGTTTTCATAACATTATATGAAGAGCACGCGACTTACCTTCACAAGAATCATAACCACCTTTTTTCCATCCGGCGCATATAAAAATATGTGGTATATGTTCAATATAACCGGCAGCTCTATACATAGTTTCGCATATTGTATTATTAATAACTGGTACTGAAACTTCTTGTAAAACACTCGGTAATGGACCATCTTCATAAAGTCGGCCCCAGCCAGTTACATATGCTGTCTGCCCAAGGAAATCATAGTCATTGTCTGGTACACAAACTGGTATTATGTTTGGTTGAAATATTACTGGCTCATAAAATCTAAAAAGGAAAGAGCAAAAAAATGTTAAAAGTTTTAAGATTAAACTAATTAGCAAAAATATTTATTATGCTTAGTTGTATAAAAGTTAAAATATGCATTAGTTTGGTAACAACTTTAACAAACAGTTAATTTTGTAATTTCACTGTGTTTCAAAAATTTGACATATTGTGACGTTGTTGCAAAAAATTTGGCCTACTCAGTTCATTTTCTCTTAGTCAAGTCTTGAATTTCTTGGGAAAAATGCTCACAAAGTCTTAACATAATTCTGATAAGCATCTCCACTTTATTTTATTTTATTAAACAAAGTTTAAGTTTTATTGCAATTAAAACCTTTTCTTCACTTCAAATCTCTATAGGTCTACATAAATATTCATGTATATGAGAGTGCAACTGTACAAAATATTCTTTTAAAGAAAAAATTACCTTAATAATGCTAAATCATATTCAAATGTTCTTGGATCAAATTGTGGATGTGATGCGACAATTTGAACACGTCTCTCCTGGTAACTGTACGGTTCTTCCTCTTCAGCCAAGTCGTATTCCCCTAAACGCAACAATAAATCTGATGGTGGTACACTATAATCAACAAGAAACGATAAAAAAATGAGAAATTAAAAAATAAATAAAATAAAATGAAATTTCATAAGCCCATACGTTAACACTATATTTAATGTGTATTTACAAAACATTCACACATACAATAGATAGTTTATCTACACAACAATATATTTTCAATAATCATTTAACCTGCTACGATAAAAAAAAATAATAAAGTAATAAAAGCAATTTGTAGGTATAGTTAAAGAATATAAAAATTGTTTTTACTTATCAACACAGTGCGCCGCAGTAATGGCCCAATTTTCATTTAATAATGCTGCACCACATTTATGCAAATAGGTTGAAGTCCTCCACTGTCTTAGGGATATTTGCCAAGGCCAACGTCCAAATGCAGCATTTGCTCCACCAACAATCCTTGGTTCAGGATACATACGTTTACCACAAACTACGAGGAAAACAAAATCACAGTATAAGAAGAAAACGATGATAAATTAACCGCGATAAAATTAAAAGTAACATAATAAAACTTTGAAAATACACAATGCTGTAAACAAAACAAAAAAAATGTTCGACAACGAAATCAATAGCACTAACAAAATATGAAGCGTTTTAAATCAAAACAAAAGAAAAACGAATACGCAAAATATGGACAAAACAACCAAAGAGAAGAAGAAACTGAAAAATAATAAATCTCGCGAACTAAAATTAAAGTCTCATAAATATTTTAAATCCTTTCCTCCTCTATAGTTTCTTCCTCTTTATTTCTCTTCACATTTTTCTTTACAAATCATCAATTAAATGAATGCAACTAATTTAGAAAGGATTGTTAGCTTTGGTGTTTCATTTGAAATGCAGTTGGCTTTAGAATTTTTGAAAGTACTCGTAAGCAGAAAATTTATTTTTGGAATTTTAAAGAATTGACTATAAAATCCGATTATTACACATTTACATGAAAACGATCTCGAAACCAAATATACAATTTTCTTGGCGCATTTTACAATAAAGGTTCACTTATCTGACCATTTATTACTTTGAAACTACGAATTTTTAAAAATTCCGATGTTTATAACTTATTCAAAAATCTAAAAAATATTATAGCTTCTCACTTTGTTTATAATCTATTCCTTCCAATGTTGGAATTGGTGACACGGTTGATGATGTGGCATTTCCAAAACCTTCGTTGATTGATGCTGTTCCATTGCTTGTTGCATTAGCTGTATTTTCAATTGAACTTGATAAAGTCGTGCTTGAAGTATTAAGTCTTGTTTCAGTGGTCCAAACCCACGAACTGTCAGTTGTATGTGTCATGTTGTTTGCAGTTATATTATTTAATTGATCTAGAACTGATGTGATACTGCTGGCTATAATATCTTCCGTTGTCGGTGCTAAAATGAAAGGTTCAAGAAATAGTTTTTGTTTTTAATATAGATATGTACTTACTATTGGGTTTCGGACTGCTTGAAGGAGTTTCAATTTTTGTTTTATTTATTTCTAACACAGAAGCTGGTTTTAGAGCCCAATCTGGCATAGGTTTTGGCTGCCAACTCTCATTATTTATATTGGAAGTATTAAACGAAACTGAAATGTTATTTTTAGGTGTATTGTCAATATTTGTCCACGTTACTAAGCCAGTTGGCTTCACAGTTGTTGTTGTTGTTGTAGTTGTTTGTGTTAGTTGGAAAATAGTGGATGACATAGTTTGCTCAGGCTTTATAGAGGCTGCTTTTGTTGTAGAGGAACTTGAAAAAATTGGCGGTTTTGTTGTTAAGGGTTGCTTAGTAATTATTGGTAACTTGCTAGGAGATGCTGTTGATTTACTTAGGTTGACAGATGGACCCTTTGTTGTTGTTAGTATGGAAGTTGATTGTGAGGGCTTACTTGTAATAATTGATGGCTTAATTCCAGGATATCTGGTTGAAGATGGTTTGAATGAAGGTTGCTTTGTTGTAGGCTGTTTAAATGAAGAAGTAGATGTCGAAGAAGTTGAAATAAGTGGTTTCTTAGTTAAAATGGATGGCAATGGTTTGACTGTAGTTAAAGGAGATCTATTAGTGGTTTTAATTTGTAATATTGAAGTCAGTGTAGTAGATAAAGTAGTCAATGGTATCTTCGTTGTTGTTGAAAATTGTGATGTTATGGGCGAGTGTAATGAATCTGTTTTTGAGGTTGTTGACGATAAATTTACTTTTGAAATATCCTCTGTATGCAAAGTTGTTGTGGTTTTCGTAGTAGTAAGGTCTGTGTCTGGTTTCAACGTAGTATATGGAACTCGAACTATTTCTGCTGTTGGTTTTGGATTAGGCCTTGGTGCTTTAGTGGATTGAGTGTCAATTTTTGTTGTGGTTAAGGGTATTTTCGTAGTTGTAGAAACGTCCGTTTTATATAAATCAGTCCGCTTCGTGGAAGAATTAAGTATATGCGGTGTAGAAGTTGTAGTAAGAGTAAAAGGTTGGACAGTTGAAGTAGGTTTGCTTATTGGTGGTCTTGTGGTCAGTGGTCTTTTAGTAACTATTAAAGGTTTTTTTGTAGGACTAGTAGTAGTCTTTTTTGACGTCGAGTTTATTGTCGTAGTAGTTGTCAGTTGCTCGTTTGAAGGAATTGTCTTAGTTGGTTTTGTTGAAATTTGTGGAGGACGCTTCGTTCCTTTAGTTCTATTTGTCGTCAATGGTCGTTTGGTATATAATGGTTTATTCGATGCATAAATAATAGGGGAAGGAGTCTTAGTTGATGTTTGTGATGCAACAGTCGTTTTCTGTGTCTCAAATTTAGTAGTAGGAGTTGCTGTTGGTACGAATGTAGTCGTTTCGACAACCTGGAATGTAGTAAGTTTAAGTGATTCAGTTGTATCTCTTATTTGACTATCGGAAGTTATAAGTGATGGATGTAGAGTTGTAAGAATTGGTGTTACAAAAGTTGATAACTTAGTTGGGTACGTATTTTTAGTACTTGTTATGATTTTATTATTGGTGATGGTAGTTAAGTCACTTGTTAATGGTAAAGGTTCTTTAGTAGGTGTATGTTTTGTTACATGTGTTTCTTTTGTCGGATGTGTACTTGGAGTCTTTGAAATTATTGAAGTTTCTTTTAACACTTCATTTGCGGCAGTATGAAAGGATGATATTTTATGTGTCGATGTGGTTTTATGTGATGTTGTCTTTTGTGCCGTTGAGGTTGGCTTGTTTGAAATAATCATTGGCTTGGTTGGCAACGGTGCTTTTTGTGTTAGTGTTGTGTTTGATAATGACAAATTTAATGACGATGATAAAAGCGATGATAGAAATGAATGAGTTTGCAGTGATGATGGTGTAGTAAGATTTTCAGTTGAACTTAAATTAAACAATGTTTGTAATTCATTTAAAGATTGTTCAGTCACGTTTTGTGATGGTATTTGCAATGGAGTTTTTGATGATGATAATGGTAATGAAGAGGATGATACTGATACCGAAGATGTTTGTGAGGATGATAAAATTGCAATTTTTGAATTATTTATTAAAGAATTTGTCTCAAAAAGTTCACTGGAAGAGGAGTTAACTGAATTTTCACGATTTTGCATTGATGGAATTACCGTTGAAATTGGCACATAAGGGACTGGTAGTGTTGGCTTCGTTTTGTGATGAGTTGTTAACTCCTGCTGAATTGTGGGTTTGTATGAACCAATCGTACTTGGTGTTGTATTAATATCATTTAAAAAATGTGATATAGTGTTTTGATCTATGCTATTGTCATTAATATCTTGTGCAAAATAATCATCCTGAAAAATTAATAATCAATATATGATATTACATAATTACAAAATGAGGAATTTACCTTTATCCTACAGCATGAGCCAAAGTAAAATCGATCTATACATGTTCCAAGATGTGTACCATTTTGCTTAATGCAATCAATCGCAAACATACAAGTACCTGATAAACCAGATTTTCTAACAATGCAGGGAAGGTGTCGTATATTTCTGCCTGATTGAACTGGAATAAAAATTAAAAAGAGAAATTATTTCTTAAATAATATTGGAACAATGTCATTAGATGCAACGTAATACTAAGTAAAATTGTTCTAGTTTACAAATATTTTAAGTAATTTGTTTTGCTCTTATTACAAGTTCAGTTTTTTATCCTTACTTATCACAATAAAAAATATTATTTTTAATTAGATCTATGTAATGCAAAAATAAAGACACAAGGCAAGTTTATATTGTTGACATTTGTATGAAGCCTATTATAATAATAATAATGCATGGATTTTATTGGTAAAGGTAAACCTCTCTAAAACAAAGATAGAAGGTCTTTTAAGAATCATCTTCTTTTTCCTAAAATATTTATGCCAGTTTCCTGCTTTTTTAACTTCAAATAAGCCGTCGTTTAATTTTTTATCAATCAAATTTCGATTGATAGAAATTTCAATTCTTTTAAGTGAAAAAGTTTAGCTATAACTTAAATTGTTAATTAAACCGCTCTTACAATCGTAAAACTTTCTCTTCTGATGACACCAAAAGCAAAAATGGAAAATAGCAACGGATTGAAAATATTTCCCACATTCTTCCGCTGGAAACATGGTCTCCGTAATACTTATACATAGGTTTACACATGCATAATATTTTCAACTGTAAATATAAATTTATTTATATACCTAAATTAACATGTTTATAGATATTTTTACTATCCAAACAACATCTGTTTATAAATCATATTGAAGAATCTGTATATAGTTAGTATAATATATCCGTACAATTTTCTTACTCTTTCCTTTATTGTTATAGCGGTTTTTACATTGCATTCAAAATAAGAAAATTAGTTTTTCCTCGTATTCTTTTTAACATAGCTTCTAGTTTTTTTAATGATTCTTACACTTCCCTCACTGCAACTTAGATAATAACGGATTAGTCATACTCACATCATTAGACTAACATATTAGACTAACACAAATGTAATAAAAACAAGTTAGGATTTCTTCTTAAATTTATAAAAAAGCACATTTCAATATTATGAATTTTTACTAGAAGGTTTCCTTTCTTATGTTAACACAAACTGAAGGTCGTAGCAGATGAAAAAAATGTATGCAAAAATATGGAATATGTGGGCAGAACCGAATGATTCTAAATGAAATTTTTGCTATAAATCATCACTGAAATGTTGCGTAATTGATAATTCATGTTGTCCAATCCTATGATTTTTAAATTTTAAAATTCCGAATTTTATAGAACAAATAATTAAGTATCTTAATATACAATCTTCTTAATATATTAAGATAAGTAAAAACGCTGTAGATTTAAAAAACCCAAGAGGCAGTCAATAGAACAAACTAATTGGATAAAATATGCTGTTGCAATTACCGCTTGATTGCTTGAATATAAACTTATATGGAATACATAAGCAATCATATAGTTGCAAAATAGTTGCTTGGCTGCCTGAGCCGTTATAAGAATAGTTGTGGAAAGCAGTAACATTTCTATGTTTTGGGAACTTTTCAATATAAATTTCTGGGCTCAAATTAATAATTAACATCCTCATTATTTTAAATACCGGTGAATTAAATCAAATGTATAGTTTTTAAAAAAAGACATCACAGGTTCTAATAACTTTTAACTTATAATATTTGCAAATGGCCATAACCCATAAAATTGAAATATTTTCATTTTCACATTCGTTTGATTTGAGAAATAAATGAAATTACATAGGAGCTACTCTTTTTTTATCCGTACGAACGTATGTTCGAAGGGTATATTAAATTTGCCTTACCGTTTGTAACGCTACGAAATAACGGTCTTAGATATAGACTCAAGTGCATGTTTTTGATCAGCGTCAAATTCTGAGTCGATTTAGCTTTGTCTGTCCGCCCGTTCGTCGCAACGATAACTAAAAAGCTAATTGATTTAAATTCGCCAAATTTTCACAAATGGTTCCTTAGAGTAAATGCCAGAACCCTACTTAAATTGGATATGATCAGGTTACTGGTTCGGGTAGCTACCATACAACTTAAAAATTTATTTGGGTATATCTCAGAAACTGTAAAAGCTATGGTATTGAAATTTCACACAAGCAAATATATTAGTAGAGCCAATGTGTTTTATAAAAGTTGTTGACATTACTTGGTTCCTTCTGGTACCTACCATACAACTTCCAAACTTATTTGGCTATATCTGAAAAACTATAAAAGCTGTGGTATTGAAATTTCACACAAGCGAATATATTAGTAGGGCCGTTGTGCTTGATAAAATTCGTTGAAATTCCTTGGCTCTTTCTGGTAGCTGCCATACAACTTCAATAGTAGTTTGGCACACACAGTATTTTGAAAAACGCAGTACTGAAATTTTGAATAAATTAATATGGTAATACGGCAACTTAAAGTCATAGTCTGCCCCATAGCCAGTTATGGCATCTTTGTTCGCACACAGGATAACAAATTCATACGGGTATCACAGAGTTGACAAGGTTAACTCTACTTTTTCTCGTTTTCTTTTTAAGTTATTGTGCTTAAAAGGAACAAAAATAAATGCACAATCCCAATTATGCTTTTCCTTTCTCAAGAATTTTTAATTTGAGATGAAAGAAATTTTTAAAAGTAACAACAACAGAACAACGATACTAGCAACAAAATAAATAATAGAAGAATTAAAAAAACAAAAAATACGGAAAGAAAAACCGTTATAATAAAAATAGTAATGCAAGATCATTACTTTTATATAAAAGAAGAAAGAGAAGTGGGAAAAAGTACAATGAAATTACTTTCGAAAGCATAATCATCCCAGTTGTTTAAAAGAGAAAAATGATGAATGATAGAAATTGTAACCGTTTATAGCTGAAAACAGCTATGAGACTTTATTTTCTGTCAACGGAATTTCTTTTTATTTCATTTTTATTTTCTTTCTTTGCTTTGTTCTTTTTGTATTTTTGTGCATTTTTTACTGACCTTATTAACAATGAAAGTTTTGTTTTCTTTCTCTATTACAAAAAAAAACAAACAAAATAAAATGAAATAAAGTCAAAAGCACCTGATGTGAAGGAGGATGCTTACTTACTTGAAAATTTCTTCTTCTCTTTCATATTATATGCAACGTGTTTTGTTAATATCTTAACTCTAGTTCATAGTCCACGATTTAAATCGTGTAATTGAAAAGAAAGACAATAACTCCAGTTTCGGTTTTGAAGCTATCAATTATTACACATTATATTATTACCTTACTATTATTTTAGGAAAGTAGACTTTTTTATATAATAGAAATCAGAAGCAGAATCATAGTGGTTAATTGAATTTAATTTTGTTTTTCTGTTTCCTTTGCCCCCTACTGTTAAGTTTGTGCCAGTATTTACTAGTTTCTAGACTTTTTTCTTAGTTTTTTTTTTTTGAAGAGTTACTGGTGATTTGTCATCATAATTTTAAAGACTTATTTTAACTTACATACCATTACCACTATGTAAGTTTATAGTGTACACATACCACAGCAGTGCGATTGTATACAATTATGTACGATTTTTATAACGAAAGTTTTTAATTCTTTGAATATGACGGCAATAGTAATTGTTTTTTCCGCCTTGAAAGAGCTAAAGTAAATTTCTATACTATAACACAATATTTCATACATACTTTGTAAATAGGTATATTGTACAACGTTCATAACGTATTGTAACAGATATATTATGTATCTGTGCATGTACAAATGTGGATATAAACATTAACTTCAGTCTCAATTGACAAACTGGATTTTAATAAACACTTTTTATTTTACTTAGTGTAATTTTAAAGTTATATTTATTGACCTTAACTTTCTCTCACGTAGAATTTTAAGTACAAAAAAAGAATGCCATAAAAAATATAAAAAAATTTAAAGAAAATAAGAAAATTTTATACTTTTCTGTTTGTTGGTTTTTTTTTTTAATTTTCTTATTAAAATTACCGAAGCAAAATTTTCTTTGTAATAAAGTTAAATAATTTTCATTAAAGATTGGAGTAATAATGAAAATAAGTGATCCATTTCATTAAACCCCAGTGTGATCGCTGATGAATAATTTGTAAAATTTACCAAAATCTATTTGGCAGCTTTTTTACTTTAATACTTGCTTATATAATAACTACGATTTTAGAATTTTTAAGGAAAATTTTCTCAATTGTTTCATTATTTCAATTTAATTAAATTTGAAAGCTTTAAGAGATGCTGTTTTGATAAAAAATTAAAGTTCTAATGAAAATCTTTTTTAATATAATCTTTTACAACTCTAAAGGGGTCTAAAAGAATGTTGAAATACTTTTAAAATAGTGTAGCAGATGGTTACATTTGCACAACCACTTTTCCTTAACATTTTCACAAGGGCTATTTACTTAATATTTTGTGAACGCGGTATTCGTTATGAAAATTTTTATATCGTTGTGAAATTAATTAGAAGTCATTAATGATTATTAATTAAAGTATAAGAATCCTATTCAAAAGTTGACCTTTAAACTGTATTAAACAGTTATAGTTTACCGAATGTATAAGAAAATTCAAAAATGCTATTCGATTTTAAGTTTTGTGCTAATTGACATTTCGTTTTCTGAGCACGGTTCATTTTTGTTAAATTAATATTGTTTCATTCGCACGATCCGTGACTTCAATAATGCGCTTACAACGCAAATTTTACAAAGTACCACATTCCAAAAAGTTTGGCAAAAGATACGTAAAATAGAAGTAAATCGGGCATCGAAAAAATCGAGCACGCTTTTCTTATACATGTCATAAAAATGTTGCCAGAAATAACCAATTAAGTTTTTTTCATAAAATGCGACGTAAAAATGCTATGTTTTTAATGATGTGGTAACGTTTGTTGAAAATTAACATTTGCACAGAACTTTAAATTGAAGTTTTCAAACAAATGTCAAAGTAAATGTATTAATATTGTAAAAATGTATTAAAAGCTTTAGCTTTTTTTTTACAATGTAAAGGTATTGAAAACTCTCAGATGGTACTACAATCGTGTTAATACCGTGCTTAAAC